CCTTACTTGATAAGACAATAGATACAAAGGGAACAATGACGACGTGAAACCTTCCACCAGCCCCCGCCTTAGTACATCTATGAAGTGAGTCATGTTTGACTCAAGAGACTGAACTAGAATACTAAAAGCTGCAGGCAAACCCTCACTTAAGCATGAGCTAACTTTATTTTCAGTTTCTATTTTTTTATGCCTTAGAAATCGCTTTAATGAAATCCAAAGAATGATAAAATAATGCAAAAAGCATTTGATTAGACCACAAAATAAATAAATTAAAGCCTGTCCGCTAAATCCTGGCCCCGGCCATTTTTTTTGAAAGCAAATTTTATTAGACCACAGAACTGCTTGTTCTTGCTTTTGTTATCAATGCCTGTTTTTTGAGCAGTAACAGCATGTTAGTTCACAAGTCCATGCACTAGCCCACTCCTAGGTTGCTTAGCCACCTATAATGTCATCATTGGTCGCTGCCGCCAGGGGCCCAGGATAAAAGGACCCCTGCCTCTTAGGTCTCTCTCTCTCTACCCTCATGGCTCACTCAGGCCCTATCTCTTCTGCTTCCCTTCCCCCGAATAAACTCTTTCATATATTATTGGTTGTGTGCATGGCATCATTTTAATATAAGTACTAACGTGGCAGAGCTGAGTACTTGCAACAGCAGACCTGATACAAAGCCCTCAATACTTCGTGTGGGACTCCTTACAGGAAAACTTTGCCACCGTCTAGATTAGGCTTCTCCTTGCCAGTGCACTCTTCAGCTATCATCTATTTTTCCAAATGGACTAATTCAAGTCCTTTATGAGTTAGTTTTACTTCCCAACTGCAATAAAAGCTGCCTGTGTTTTGAGACTCCAGTGTGTAGCTTGGAATGCAGAGCCGGCACTTTTTGGAACATAAACACTTTGTCTCAATATACTTTTAGTACTTCTGCAACTCCCTAGGAAATGAAAATCATCTAGAAGCAACTAACAAAAATTCAGCTCTTGTTGAGAATATGCATCTTTCTTTCTAAATGCTCTCTGCTTGCCGCCCCAGGGTGACAAGGTAACTTTTACCACTAACATTAAGAAAGCAGTTTTGCTCTTTGTCTTATTAGGGTTTCTATTGCTGTGGTGAAACACCACGACCAAAAGCAACTTGGAGAGGAAAAAGTTTAATTGACTTACACGTACTGAATCACAGTCCGTTGAGGAAAATGAAGGCAGGAACTCAAACAGAGGCAGGAGCTGATACAGCGGCCGTGAAGGAGTGCTGCTCACCGGCTTGCTCAGCCTGCTTTCTCAGCCTGCTTTCTCGTAGAACCCAGGACCACCTGTGCAGGGAGGTACTACTTACAACAGGCTGGTCCCACCCACATTACTAGTTAAGAAAATGCTCTACAGGTTTGCCTAGAGCAAGGTCTTATGGAGGCAATTTCTCAGTTGACAATCACCCCCTCGGATGACGATGACTTCTGTCCAGCTGACAAGGCAAACTTGCTTTCTCCTCCTCCTCTTCTTCTTTTTAAGTTTCATCCTTTATGTATACAAATATGAGTCTTCATGAGTCTCTGTGCACCCAGGCTACTAGGAGCCAGAACAGGATGAGATCCCCTGGAACTGAAGTTGTAGGACACGGGGAATGACCATGTGCTGGGAACTGAACCTGGGTCCTCTGTCTGCGCAGTAAGCACTGCTACCTACTGAACCATCTCTCCAGCCCCTTGGATTCACACTCTCCCACTGCTACTTTTTGTTTTCAGTTTGCTTGTTTGGTTAGTTTTTGAGACAAAGTTTCTCTGTGTAGCCCTGGCCTCTCTGGAACTCTCGATGTAGATCACACGGGCCTCAAACTCAGAGATCTGCCTGCCTGTCTCCAGAGTGCCAGGTGTAAAGGCATGCACCACCATCACCCGGCTTACTGCTGCTTTTTAAGCACATCTTCCTCGTTGGGAAGAAAGGAAAATACTTGCAGTAATCAGCTTCAGAGTGAGTGGAGAAGAATTTTTTTTTTTTTTAAGTCAGGCATCCAAAGATATAGGAGAGATTCTGGGTAGCCAGATAATATCTCCCAGGGAATCTCATTTTCTTCCAGACTTAGTGAGCTTTTGCCAGAGCCCTGTTAGGGAACTGTGACCCTCTGAAAGTATTTGAGAGTCACAGGTGGAAGGATCTCAATACTTACTAAGCTCCTGCCACGTTCCTGCCCTACTCAGCCTCCTCCACCCAGCTGTTCTTTCCTGATCACGCCACAGGCATGCCCCGTAGCCTGGCAGTAGCACACAGGGGCCTGACTCCAAAGTTCTCACGCTGCAGTAGAAAGGTCTTGATGACGTGTCTTCAAGTGCCATCCTCAAGGGAAGAGGAGGGCAGGCACTTTTAGTTCTCCAGCTGTGCCCACAAGATCAGACCCAGGCTGTAGGGGGCCAGGGTTGTGGCCTGCCTAGGAGATGGCAGTCCCTCCTCGTGGAAAAGTCATTGAGTTTTCTATGTAGCAGCCACCAACCGTGACCTCAGCCTTCCTGTAAGCCTTGCCAAAGACTAGGTACGTCAGAGCTTTTCCAAATTCAAGGGAAGCCAGAAAAATCTCCATTTTCCAATTCAAAATCAGGTATCTTTAAGCTGTCAATGTCAAAAGAATGGCTTGACTTTTTTACCTGAGTCTCCAGGACTAGCACAAACCCACTGAGAGTCTGACTTTGCGGGCGGGGGGCACCCGAGTGGGTCAAATGTCAGTATTTTGGGTGGCGTTGGTGGACGTGGTGTAAGCTTTCTACTCCGCCAGCAGCTCTTCCACTTGCTTTGCGCTGTGCTTTTTGAAAAGCACATTCAAATTTTTATTAGCAATCACAGCAGAAAATGTACAACTTGGGAAATAAGACTAAGAGCTTCTAAAGCCCCTGTCTGCCACTTACAGCGTCTGAGGTCCTGGGTCTTAAACTCATCTGTGAAGTGGAATCGAGCCATAAACCTTTAAGGCACCAACAGGGCATGTATAAGTGTTTTGTGCAACTTGTCGCCACCGCTAGACAGGACCCCAGAGAGATTCCCATCAAAGATGTGACTCCACTTTATCTTGTTAACTTGAATGCAGCTGGGAACCATATATTTTAACTCTCTAGGCTGCCTTTCAGCGGCACACTGCTGAAAGTCCCTGCTTCATTTTTACCATCTTCCTTAGTGTTTTTGCTACGTTAAAATCCATAGGGCTAAACAATTACCGATCTTGAAATGGCTCTCTAAAAAGTCATTTTACTGTTGAAATGTAATAGCAAATAATTTCTTGCAGAAGGCAATAAGCAGGGCTATTTACTCACAGCGATTGCAGCTTTTGTATTTGACTTCATAATGGGTTGCAGATGTGGAGACAGAGGCTCGTCCCGCCCCTCCCCCAACGCTCAGAGCAGCATATGGCACCGAGTCAGATTACACTACCCAGGACGCAGTCCCGTACTCAGGGACCCAAGAAGAAGGCAACACAAGTTCGCGGCTTAGTTTTCACTGGTTCCTTCAGCCCGTTGACGGCTTCTTCTGTTGTCTGGCTGAGAAAAGTAAAATCCTGAAGGTGTGCACAACTCTTAAGAAAATTTCAATTGACTTGAAAGGCCTCAAGGTTTACTAACAAGCAGGCAGGCACGTGTGTTAAATTTGTAGTGGCTTCTTGTTTTTTGTTTTTTTTTTTGTTGTTGTTGTTGTTTTGCTTTTCAAGACAGGGTTTCTCCCGGAACTCACTCTGTAGACCAGGCTGGCCTTGAGCTCAGAAATCTGCCTGCCTCTGCCTCCCCAGTGCTGGCTTTTAGTGGCTTTCAAGGTGAGCAGAAAGGGCCTGGAGAGATGCTTATGTGACAAGAGTCGAGCAGAGACGGTTTGCAGTCTGCTGAGAAACCTGACCGTCATGACTAAATCACTCCTCCTCTAAGGTGTCTGCACAGTGTGGGAACGAAGATGTTGCAGCTACCAAAATGAAAAAAAAAAAAATGGCATGTGCTTTGTTCACAGGTGTTGCTCCATTGAAAGTGTTTAAATGAATGACAAGTCTCACACAGACAAACAAGCCCGAATACCACCAGCTCAGATGGTGGGAATGGAAGGTGGTCAAACTACAGTTTAGCTGAGAGATTGGCCCCTTGAGCCGTCAACGCAACTGGGGATAAATCAAATCTGTTATATGTGAAAATCCTACACTGAAAACAATTATGCTTTCCAATCTATTCACCTAAACAAAACATCTACAGGTTTTTATTCATAGAAAGATATTCTGCCACTGGATGAGAACGTAGCTTGATGTAGGTGGATATGGATGGGGATCAGACAGAACACCTATCTAGCATTCGTAGGGCCTGGTTCCACCGTCAGGACCATAAATAGGTAAACAGCAAAATTGTCATCACTTAAAATGCCTTCAACTATGCCCCGGATGCACTTGGTAGCATGCTCAGGAGTCCAAGACGCCAGATTCTTTAGGTCTCCTGTAACCAAGCCTGCCCTCTCTGCAGAAAAACAGAACAGGATGGATGAATGCAGCCTGGGAGCCCAAAGCCAAGGCAGGTACCCCAGGAGAGACTGGAGGCCACCATCTGCGGTTCAGGACTTCCCTACCTCAGCATGCCACTGCAGCCCTTCACCCTACCTAGTGACACGAAATTCACATTAAAGAAATGACAACAGCCGCCAGAAAAAGATGGCGGCGCCAGCATCAGCGAAGTACGCGGTTCCTGCACACAGTACACAGGCCTGAAAGCAGGGCACGGCACACCTATTATGTGCCGTCCTCCCGTAGTACACAGGCCTGAAAGCAAGGCCATGGCACATCCATCATGTGCCGTCCTCCCGTAGGCAAACATGGGAGTCTAACTCTGGAACGGGGGAAATGTTGGTGTTTAGGGCTTGTTGGAAAAAGAGGATGCTTTTTGCTTCTAAAAGAAAGAATTTAGATGAATTATTGATTACCAACATAGGAACCGTCTGCTCAGGAATGAGATTCATCATTGCCCGGTTCTTACAGAAGAAAACACAGCGTCGTTTGCTTCATACATGTTTTATTTTCAGCACACCATAGCTTAGGAATTCGGATCTACTACTATCCATGTGTAAACTTCAGGGAACGAGACCTTCAGGTGACGTGCTCTAAGGATCCCTGCTGCAGGAAGGAAGAAAGGACACGATGAGTTTCCCATGGTCTGTAGCATCTCACGGTGGCTTGTGTAATAAAAAATTCGCTGTTGTTTAAAAGTCATGATATTGTCCCTTCTGACAACCATAATTCCTCTTCCTTGGCATTTTGACCAGCACAAACTCAAATCATAATGCCTAGGCCAATGAACCTAGTCTGCTACAATCTAGTTGGCCTTGGTTGGCTGTGTGATGGCTTACCCCACTCCCCCAAAATACAAATGAGTACACACACCAAAACCCCAAGACACAAGCCCAAAGCAAAACACACACCAAAACCCCAAAACACAAGCCAAAAGTGAAAAATAAAAATAAAAGCAAATTTGAACATTTCACTGTCCTGTAAATGACAGTCTTTCACAGAGGTACATCTCTTCAAAACAATACCACAGCGCGCACACACACGCATACTTTGATGTCTTCTTTTTCTGCTCAACACAGCACGCCAAATCTACTCCTGGAGAGGGGGCATCCAACGATGAGTTTCACTTAGAAGGAAGCGGAGTTACAATGACATCAGATGTCTACTATAAGTCTTTCTCTGATGCCCATTAATAAATTTGTGAACAAATTAAATACATTGCCAGAAGAAGAACACTGCTGCTAATGTCTCAAGGGCTACTGGTTCCAGTGTGCTCCCTAATCAGGCAAAATATCATTTTCTTGGCTCCTAACACTATTTATTTTGCATCCTGCCAATCTTGAAAATAAATCCCGCTGTGTGGCATTTCCTCATAAATGCTTCCTGGTGCTCTGCAGTATTTGATTTCAAGCTGCCATTCCACCTTTATAAACATTTAGAACTTTCATAGCATGAAGGAAATGCCTAAAGAGCAGACAAAAGCAAAACCGGAGGCACACCAGCAGATTGTTTTACAGCAATATCTAGTTTTTTTGAAGTATGACCAGAAATCTCTCTTTATAGCCAATATTGCATTCTCAATCTGAGTACAGAGCACAAAATTAATATTTTGGAACTTCAGTACAGAGGCATGGGTATCCACATGATACCCCCATGGTTAGTAAAACAGAACGCCTTTAAGGATCTAACCCCAGGCCGCTAAGAAGCAGGAGAAAAGGAAACGGAAGTAACATCAGTTGCCGCACGCTATCTGTAGTAAACAATAGGTCATGAGTGCAATAGTGCAATCTTCCTTCGCTAGTCCAGCAATGCAAGTCTTAGTAGGGGGTCCATGCTGTGGCCCTTCGCATCTCAGGATTTAGCTGCGTGCAGGCCGGGGATTGGAGCTCCTGCTGGACTTCTGACTCCGAGTAGAATCACTGGCATCAGTTCTACCCGGTCCAAGATGACGGAGTTTCATGTCCCAGCGCTGTGAAATGAAAATGAGAAAACAGTGACTCGAACACAGCTCAAGGTACGTTATTCCTTTGATGTCAACTGAGGGAGATTGTGAAGTCAGATCTCAAAGTGTTTCAGCACTTTTCAGAAAGTCTACAGTCTCTATCCCAGGATAACAAAGGGGCTGACAATGCTCTGATTGCAAAACCCACAATGGAGACCATCTCATCCGTGGGATATTCAGTGATGTCGGTATCCCAAAACTTGGAACTAAAATTTCATGTCTGTAAATGATGCAGAAGTCAACAGTATCTATCCTTTCTGAATTTATATTCAAGCAGAAGGTTTATGCTGACAGTTTGAAAGAAGGGCTATTTTTCATTATTTTCTGTTGGGGGTTGGTGTGATGCTTGTATTTTGATGCTAATTACTGGCTCTCAAGATCTGGTTACTGCCCTATCCTTGTTGTGTAAAACAGCCTAACACATTATTCCTGATTGGTTGATTAAAAGGCCTAAAACTTGGGCAGGGCAGAATGACATACAAGTGGCTAAGGTTCCTGGGCTTTGGGATCAGGAGCATCATAGGAAATAGGAGACAGGTGGGAAGAGAGGAGGAAGGAGGATGATGGGTTAGCATGAAGGAACCACGTGGGCTCAGAGGAAGAACTCCATGGATGGCGTGGATGGAGAAAACACCAAGATAAAAAACATAAGCAAGTATTTATAAGATTATGGGTGGAAGAGAGCCCAGTTAGAAATGGTTAAGGCGAAGGGCACTGGATGGGGGCTGGGAGGTGGATTTAAAGGTTACTGAGACAGCGAAAGTGAATTATAAAACCTAACAGGTGTCTGTGTCTTATTGATTGTGAGAGCAGATTAAATAATACTGCCCTAACAATCACAGGGCAAATAATAAATACTAAATAGTTCAACACCTATGTATTTACAATAACAATTTTCTTAAGATCAAAGCAATATAAACTTTTAAAAGTTAATTGAGTGTCTGGGGAGAGGGCACAAGGATAAAACCTAATGCTTGGTAGCTGGAATCTGGGTAAAAGCCAGGTGGAGTGGTGCAAGTCTATAATCTCAGTGCTGACAGGTGGATCCCTGGAGCTCTGGACTCCACGCATCTTGCCTAATCAGTGAGTGTGGGCTTCAGGAAATGACCTTGTCTCAAAAAGTGAGGTAGAGAGCAATTGAGGAAGACACTTAGCAGGGACTTCTAGACAGCATATGCACAGTCACCAGCACGCATAAGCGCACGTACGTGAACATACACACACAATGCCAGCTGATTTAAATAGTGAAAACAGAGTAAAAATGTGTCTGTAGAATATTTTTCTAATATTGATAAATTACAGCAAAACTGAAGACCCTGTTCTGTCACATGTTGTTTGTTTTTTTAAGATTTATTTATTGAATATACAATGTTCTGCCTGCATGTGCTCCTACATGCCAGATTTCATTATAGATGGTTATAAGCCACCATGTGGTTGGTGAGAATTGAACCCAGGTCCTCTAGGAAAAGCAGCCAATGCTCTTAACCTCTGAGCCATCTCTCCAGCCCCCTCTGCCACAAGTTTTACAATGCATGCATTGCGGGTTTTTTGTTTGTTTGTTTTGTTTGTTAGTTTTGGTCTGTTTGTTGTATGCATTGTTTTCAATAAGAAAAGTCATACTTACTTGTATCTCATATGAAAAATGTCAATAGTGTTTATTTCTGATATAAGATATTAAATGGCAGTTGCCGAAAGTGTAGGAAGTGATAGGTGCATCTGTACTTGACAAGCTCCAGTGAACATAGAAATCATCAGAGGATCCTGCTGAGAACAGGTTCATGAGCTCTGAATGGGGCCCATGATTTCCACAGATCAGGAGTACCCACGTGATCCCTGGGCTGCTGGTTCAATGACCTCACTTTAAGAAGCAAGAAGCTAATGTCAGATGGCCCAAGTTCTGAATCTAACTCATACTCACCATGCAAAGCTTTTTAACTTAGTAGCATTTTTATTGTTTCTATATCGAGATTAGTAACAATAATAGGATCATTCTGCAGATTGAAGAATTACAAAGCGCAGAGCACAGAATAAGTTAGTTATTACTATTTTTTCTATTAAAATATATCTTTATCTTGGCAGACTTTATTCCACAATAATAATGCTTTCATATTTAAAAAATAATCTGATTTTTAACTCTCTCCAAGGTAATTCAAGTATCTTGATTTGAACAAATGGCTTTCATGGAACATAAACAAACAATCATTTATATCGAAGAACGGTGAAAGGTCTTTTTTTAAACGGCCTTCTGCTCAGAGAAAGATCAGCTGTAAAGAGCAACTTTGATTGAATTTTAAAAATGACATCCCCCATAAAAATCTTTTAAGCATTCCCAAGTTAACTGATCCTACTAATTCCAGCCAGAATAGATTTTACTCCCAAACTTCTGGCTCAGAGCATAAACATGAATTAAGGATTGACCCATTAGGTCTGGAGCTATGCGTACTTGCTGAAGCCAGGCAGTGGTGGCACACACCTTTAGTCCCAGCACTCTGGGGGCAGAGGGAGGTTGATCTCCGAGTTTGAGGAGTTTGAGGCCTGCCTGGTCTACATAATGACTTCTAAGACAGCACGGGCTATGCAGAGAAACCCTCTCTCAAGAACAAAACAAATCAACAATAACAAAAACCCAGCTGCTGATCTTGCAGAGAACCAGAAGTTCCCAGCACCAAAGAGACAGCCAATAAATGTCTATAACTCCAGTTCCTTGGGATCCCATGCCCTCTTCTGGCCTTCTTGGGCACCACGCTCTTATGCATATATATGCAGAGAGAGAGAATAGTCATGTGTATAAAATAAAAAGTTAAGAATATTTTTAAAAAGAAAAATAACAGAAGAGAACCAGGTGCAGTGATACACTACGACAATACAAACATCAGCGCAGGATGAGTGCAGAAAGGTTAAGGCCAGCCTACGCTACACAGTAGGTACCAGTCCAGCCTGTGCTAAATCCAAACTATCGGTCCAGCCAGAGCTACATAGCAAAACACTGTCTCAAAACAACAAAGAAAATTATTCAAGTTACTGGTTTATTGTTTCCTATTAGTGTGTTTAAAGTCAGTCTGAGAAATTCAGTGATTTCATAAAAACTACGATTTCCCTGTAGGAGGCGAAGTAAATCCACCAGGCCACAAAACAGGACAAGCCACGCATCCCAGCGAAAACATAACCGGCCAGGCTTGTTACACAAGCTCTTCCAACTGGAACAGGAATTTAGGACAAATTCCTGTTCTGCACTGGGAAGCAGAAAACAGACTTGAAAGGATGAAAGGAGATCCCAGTGTTATGAAGAAGAGACTAATAATTAGACACCAGGTTAACTGACAAAGGATGCGAACAGGGAGCGCTCACACTCAGCCCTTGAAATGCATCTCACTCCTGACAGAAACACTGGAACACAAGGAATTCGGAGGTGATAGTTCCTTTCTACGACTTGGTGCCGTCCTCGTTCTCTAGGTCACTGACTGGAGCATCTGCTCCGCCGGACGCTAAGATCAGCTGCCTTGGGCTGTTTAACTTACTTCCCCGGTTACTTCCCAAGTGTTTCCGAGCTTCCGGCTCTCAGAGGAACAGGGTGTATTAGGTTTGGTACAGTTCTCACTCCTAGCCCCCACCCCAGCAGGCATCCTAGGAGATTCCGCACCCCCCTTTCCCCAAATTGTTCTTCTCTATGAGAGATGTGTCTGCTAGTGCAATAATAAGAAATGCAGACATTTTTTTTAACTGAGCAGTGTAATGTACTACTTGATTTTTGAGATATAAGTTTGAGGCTCGTACTCTAAAATGTTAAAGCCACGTCACTGTTCCAAGCACCCACTTCTTCTACACTGAACGCTGTGGCAGACGCTTGTTCATAGAATTCGTTTCTGTACTTTGGACACTGTAGTATTCTTCTATTTGTCAATCATATTTTTCTCCCTTCTCAGGGAAGACCAATTTGTTTAGAAACAATGAAAACCTCCACTCCCTGCTCTCCAAACTGGACATGGACACAGCACCTGTCCTTACCAAAAGATCTAAGGTAGAGATTTCGGATCGAGTTCTTGGAGACCCACGTTTGCCTCCTCCCTTCTTTCTGCCTGAAATGAAGAATGGTGTTGGAGGCAGAACAGCCCTGTGTGACTTCTATAAAGATGGAAAGCATATCCTACCACGGCAGAGCGATGAGCTGTCAGGAGGCTGGCCCTGGAGCTAGAGTAGGAAGCCAGCCTGTCAGGACTGGCTAGCTACAGGTATTCTCACAAGAAATTAGGGCAACTGTAGCTATAGCTTTGATACAGGAAATTCATTCCTTACATGAATTGACATTAAAGACAATTTCAGTTTTTAAAATAGCCATGTGTGTGTATGTGTTATATGTGTATGTATATGTATATCAGGTCTTAATATTCTCATGTAGTTGAGGGTGACTATTTAATGTATATGAGGGATAGTTTTCTATGAACTCTATTACCAAACTTTTTCTGGTTCTGCGAACTGAACCTGGAGTGTTTGCTAGGAAGGCATTATACCATGGAGCTCGGGCCCAGCCCCAGCATTTTAATACTTTGACATAAAATCTAAGCTTACCTTGACTTTCTTTCCAAGACGATCCTTCCACTTCTCAGCTATAGAGCCTTCTACCAAGAGTAATCTGCATTTTAAAAATCAAATGATAACTTTTGAAAAATCAAGGTACAGAACTGAAAAATTCAAGGAATTGCTGGTTAGAAAAAACTAAACATGTTTATCCTAGAATACAAACACCAGAGAGATGGAAAGGGTCCTAACTATTTAGGAGTCATGAACCCCCTTTCAGAAATAAATGAAGCTATGCTCCCTCTTTCCAGAAAAAAATCTAGACCCATAAACTGTGCTCACCTTTTTCTATCCAATATACAAAATAAAAGATAGCCACAGTCCCCAAGAAAGAAGGGAGAGCCTGGCACCAGAGCACCACAGCAAAATGTATGAACCGACGCGTGAAGGCTAGGAAGGAAAACAAAGGGCCGTGAGTCCTTCCCAGGCAGGTTACCTGGAGCGCTCTTCATCCTCGTAGCCCATGATGATATATTCTTCATTTACATGGAGCGGGGGGCAGAGGCAGCCAGAGGTGGCGTGAAGGCTGACGGTGTCCCTCGGGATGTTCACCAGCGACGCCTTCAGAATGTCCTTCACCTCCAGGATGGCGGTCACGTCATGGCACTTCGTCTTCACCTCTTTAACCCTAGCCCGGATGACTGGGTAAAAGAAGGCAGGTCTGGTTTGTATGACACACAGTAGGCCTACCATTCAAAGAAAGCCAGTAGGCTTCTTTCTGGCCAGTTCCTCTCAGTTTCATGCTCAATGGTTAGAAAGGAAATGTCAGGCAGACATTTCTCTTTAGAGAAGACGCCATACCTGCATTCTCCGCGCTCAGCCCTCTTTCCCTGCCAGTTTGTGTCTGTATCTGTGTATATGTACACTGGTGTTTATATATGCGTGTGTGTGCAAGCATTCGATTTTCAAAACCCCACTTAGGTAATTAGAGCTGACTGAATACACTTTCCCCCTGTGGCTTCACGTTGGATATATGGATGCAATTTCACCCTGTAAAGGCCCAGACCCAACTTTATGCTTCGTTTCTTCATTGGGATTCTTCAATTGATCATTTTCCTCAAGGCGGGGTCTCTTCGGAGCTACAGCTCAGTCCTGTTTAGTAGTTCCTTGGTCTCTTTGCCTCCCTCAGCTCATCTCACCATTCAGACATCCGCACTTTCCTTCACGTCAGAGTTAAGCCCCGTGTTCCTTTAGGTATACTGAACGTTCTTCTTGAGGAGACTTTGTCCATCAGACCTGTGTCTTCCTTGGGCCTTGCACTCAGCTACTCTGCCACCCCACACCCCTGCTGAGTGAGGCAGGGCCTTCCCGCATGCCAGCTGCATCGCTCTCCTGCCCACCATGCAAGTAGCGGCCCTTCAAGTGGCGGGACCCAGAGGCTGGAAGGAGCCTTTCCTCTGTGCTCCTGTGTCTCTCCCTTGGAGGAGCCGCACTGGGTAGATCTACTTCCAACATGTAGACATTTTTACAGGAGAGTTTTACTGTTTTTAAAAAAGAAAGATGTGAAGGCATCAGCTCATAGAAAGTCCACAGCAATATCTCAGGAAGCCCTGTCATATCGATATTGTGTCATATTGTGTCACAGAGGGGACACGGTGTATCCAAGTGAAGCCACTTCGGGCAAGCTCTGCAGGTAGGAACTATAAACTCCCGCTTGCAGACGCTTCCATGTATTTTAGATGTTCAGGACCAGACGGGACTGATAAAATCCCTCCACAACTATATCAAACCAGCTGGTCATCCAATTCTCTGCCGGGCTCTACCTTCATCGCGGGAATTTAATGGTCTACCCACTATGGCAAGCCACAAGACAGGGATTCGGTTACCAAAATTTGTAAATCTTTAAGCTCGAGCCTTGTTTTTGCTTCATGAATACTTCAGTCTTCAGGGACTTTATAGCAATGCAAGCAAGGTCACACTGCCCAGCTGGCCCTGCCTGATTGGCAAGGGGAGACCTTGCTCGTCCTGTTCTCTCGGCCTTGTATTTTGACAAGAGATAACGTTTTCCTTCCAGACGGTAAGGCCAACTAACAGACATGTTTGTGTGAGTCCCAGCGTAAATGAATGTGCCTCACAGAGCCCATCAACCATTAGTGATGAGTGAGCTGTGCCAACGTTCTCAAGCTAATGATTTCTTTACCCAGTGCAGCCACTATTTTCACTGGAAATTTTTAGCACATGTACCTACTCCAAAAAAAATACCTCTCCACAACACCTACTTTATTATTTAAGTAATTTTGCTAAAAACTGACAATTTTTTTTTTTTTTTTTTTTTTTTTTTTTTACTGAATTAGTCAAGAATGAGGCGGGGGTTTTATATGAATTAGCAATTGTTCCTGGCTGTACCTTGTTTTCTCAATAGATACATACAAATACATAAAAGTAAAAATCAGTTGATTTTCAACAGGGCTGGGCAGGGACTTCACTCTTAAGTGATTCCTTATTTTCAACTGTATAAAAGAACTGGAATGGGGATAGAAATTAGACAATTAAAAAGGGACCAGGAGGCCCTGGCAAAAAAAAAAAAAAAAAGTAAAAATCACTATATTTTGAAACAAAAACATTTCCCTTCCATTAGTTTGCCTTCTAGCCAAACACTGGAGTGCCTGTTTCACCCAAAGAATCTGTAAGTCCCACCTAAAAACCAATCTTTAAATAATAGGTGGCCTGGTTAGTGTCTGGCTATGATTTTTTTTTTTTTCTTTTCCAGTAGTGATTGGGGAAACATAGGCTGGCCTTGAACTTGCAATGCCATTGCAGCTGGCCTTGAGCTCTTGATCTTCTTGCCTTAGTCCTACGTTCTGGGACAGGACACAGATGTGAGAGATGTGAGCTACCTTACAAGCTCCTCCTTCTTACCAGCTGTGATCCACATCCGATCTTAGGTTGTAATACTCACTCAGCCGTCTTCCCTAAAAGCTCTTTTTGATGATTTGTAGTGGTTAATACTTTAACTTTCAATCGTAAGGGTACCACCAGCTATCGCATTACTAAGGAAGCTGGGTAAAGTTAAAAGCAGTGAGTGAAGACAAGTAAAAATAACTTTCTTTGAAATAAATTTTTTTACTGTTAGTGTTTGTAGTGTGTGTGTTGTTGTTTGTTGTTGCTGCTTTCTGTTTGTTTGAGAACAAACAGAAAGTTTGGCTCTGGTGTACCCCAGGCTAGCCTCCAACTTGTTACATAGCAAGGATGACACTGAACTGCACAACCAGTTTAGGTGCTGATGATCTAATCCACGGTTCCGTGCAAGCCTTCTGCCAGGACCCTGCTAGGAAATTATGTTTGCCCTGTATGAAATTATGTTTTAATTTTCATCATAATTATATTTAAAAGCTCACATAGTCTTTATCGATCTTAAAAAGCTACCCTTCGAAAAAGCACAAAGAACCCCTTCTCCTGCAATCTCATCAGTTTGCATAAGGGGAGGAAGAGCTTTCAGGTAAGTAGCTAGGCATTTGATTCTTAGATAAACTAAACCCTTAGTCCAGGGACATCTGTCTCTCCCAGATGTCTGTCTGTCACTAACCAAGAGCCGCTAAGGTCCTGCTGAAGGTAACTAGCTGACCTGGTAGCTCATGCCCATCACTCTAGTGCTGGACAGACTGTTCAGGAGCAGCCTGGGCAGAGCAAGTTCTAAGCTAGCCTTCCAAGTGCAGAATTCCTGCCTGAAAATAGATTGTAAGCAAACTTAAAAACTGGTTCCACTGGAGATCCTTGTGAAAGGGTCATTTGACGAAGCCCCACAAGGGGTCACAACCCACAGGTTGAGCACCACTGCTGCAGAAGTTGGAACAAATCTCTGCATGTCCTGAGTCCTCTACAGTAAGGCACATAACGGCAAAATCCTCGTTTTCATCATACAGTTCCTTTTAGAAGTCCCTGTAGCCCACACATTAACTTGGGATCAGACACTGGCATGATCTTGCTGGTCTCACCGACAGGCTGAGCATCCCAAATCAACACAATGTACACGCGGAAACTTCCACACCTGTCTTCAGGTGACAGCTAGTTTGAAATGTCTGTGAAACACAAAGTTTATGCTTAAACTTGGCTCCTGTTCCAAAGATCCACAAATATTCCAAAATACAAAATGAAAGCCTATCATCCTAAATACTCTGGCCCTAAGCATCCTGGATGAGGGACATTCGACCTCTCCTTGAAAACCAATTCTAGTAAAAGCCTGTGGAATACGCTAGCACTGAGCAGACCTCTGTGTTAGCAGCTGAAGAACTGCAGTGACTGCCTCTCATAAGCATGACTGTCAGTGGTATTTACTGAAGCACAGCAGTACCCAAATAATAATAAAAGAAGGGACAGTGTTGGCTCAACCATCACTCATAAAATCAGGATAAGAAGAGTGCTCAGAAGCTCTTGGGATAATTAAACGAGATAATACATGGAATGCGTGTAAAACAGTGCCTGGTAGAGATGGCATGCTCCCATCACATCAGCCAGCTCTGTTGGTAGGGCTCTTCAGTTAGCATGTGGCTCATCAAAATGTTGTTTGGTCAAATTGAATAGCAAGACACCCCCTTAGATGAATACCAACAACTATTAGGGATTGTTTCCCAGTGTCCTTCCTCTCCCCAGTGGAGCACAGCTGGAACCCAGGTACCAACCCAGAGACAAGGACTTCTGCTTTGAAACGGATCTCTGGGTACCCAGTGCTTCGGTTTAACGAACAATAAAAAAGCTGCCTGATGCCGTCACAATCAGGCACCTGACGGGAACTTTGCCGCCCCGATGCACTTTAATTAGCTGAAGCTGGGGACGGTACTTGTAGGTGTCCCTCTTCATGCGCAAGCCCCGTGTGTGTGCATGCAGGGGTGTCATGTAATACCCGCACACGCGGCCTGCGAGTGGACGGCAGAGGTGGCCTTACCGTAGTTGTAGTTGTTGCGGAAGTAGGTCTTCTGAGTAGCTCTGATGGGCTTACACTCGCAGCGCTCTGAAAGACAGGCAACGGCAAGTGACTTCTCCACGGTGGCTGCCTTCCGTTCACCCGCTGCTGCAGGGAGCCTCCAGGTGGGGTTGACGGTGGAGGCCTCCGTGTCTGCTCTGCTCCTCCCGAACCTAACCTGCTGTTCCTTCCTCTGCACCGCCTGTTCTCGGCGGTGTCAGCAGGCTCCCGAGCTCCCGATCCCTCCCACCCAAACCCTACCGGAACACTGCTCTGCACCCCAGCCTCCCGCTCGCTCCATGAATGCTCCCACGTGTGTGGCTAGCTGGCGTGGCCCCGCGGAAGACCGCGTGCTGTGCGTGGGCTTTTTACAGACTCCAGGGCCTTTCACACGTGTTAGCTCCTGGATCAGAAAGCCACTCAAGCTGAGGAACCAGGCTTGCCACATGAGCCCATCCCGCAGGCAGAGCAGCTGCCATCGATCGAAACGGTATTCCTTTGCTTGTTGGAGAGAAAATGCATCTTTTGAAAGTATAAATTCTGTATATTAAAAATATATGCTAATAGTAAGCACTGAAATAATATGCATCTAAGTAACATTATACAGACTGAACAGGTTGTATTTCTATATTTAGGAACGTATGTGTGTGACATATATGTTACATATGATACATGTATGACCACAATGAAAGAAAAAGAGGCCACGAATCTGAGAAAGAGTGAGGGGTTACACAGGTGTATGAGAGAGGCTGGGGGGAGAAACGGGAAGGGGGGAAGGATGTAATTTATAACTTCAAAAATTAAAAATTATCAATAGTAAAAATAAATCTTAAAAGACAGCTCTGGGTGGTAAGTGAACACATTTTACCTAGTAGACGTGTGTGTCGGAAAAGCCCTGATGGTCTGAACATTTCCGTCTGTAGATAACCTTACATTTTCAAGAGTACATTTTTAAACCTTTTATGGAAAAACTATACTACCAAAATTACTTAGCTGAGGAACTGGAGTTAGGGATATAGCTTAATTATAATGTATATGCTTTGATAGATAAAGCCCTAAGTTCTATTTGTAATCATACACACACATATGCACGCACACGCACGCACGCACGCACGCACACACGCACGTGCATGCACTCACACAGGCATGCACTGACTCACACAATGTACGCATGGCAAAGAGCCTGTAGAGTCAATGTAAAAAGAAAATTTCCTTGGAAGTTATTTGATGATGTGTAAAGGTCTCTTCAAGTCAGTACCTCTGAGAAAGCCCCACCGAACATTAAATCATCAGTTTTTTCCACACAGAGCATGCGAATCAGAGAAAGGACGTAAGGATGTGAATTTTATCTGCTCTGTTTAAAAAGTGTTTTATGTGACTTTGGGGACCAGTAAAAAGTCGACCCCGTGTTGACCATTTGCTATTGTATTTATCATCACATGCGCATGGGCATTGCCAGCATGTTTGTCTGTCTGTCTGTGTACCACGTATGTGCAGGGCCTTTGGAGGCATTGGCTTCTCTGGAACTGAAGTTATAAAGGGTTGTGAGTTGCCATTAGGTGCAGGAATCAAACCCGTGTCCTCTGGAAGACCAGCTCTTCGTGTTGCGCCATCTCTCCAGCTGCCTCTCTGTAAATTTTTAATTGCATCTTTATTTTATATAAATGTATTGTGTATATGTGGGGGGGTGCACACACAGCACAATGCATGAGTGAGTGTAGGTCACAGACAAACGTCCAGGAGTCCGCTCTCTTTCTACCACGTGGGGCCTGGGATTGAACTCTAACCATGAAGCTTGGCAGCTGGTGCCTTTTCCTGATAGATTAGCCATCTTGCCTGCCTCTTGTATTTTCTAATCAACATTAACTTCACTTCAGTTAAACCCGCAGACAACATCAGCAGTCCAAGGGAGAGACGTGCCCTGCCTGCCAGCTTCACGTTTGGAAGCAAGGCTCTCTCCTGGGGTCAGTCGTCAGAGCAGGAAGCGTCCCCACCACGGTGGTAACAGGAACGTGTCTTGGCTGCACAGGGCATCTTCCCTCCTTTGATCTGCTGGAATTACAGGCGTGTGCCACCGTGCCTGGCTTAGCTCTTAGAATTGCTACACACAAATGTCCATCTAGTTTGATTATCTAATAGTTCAATATTTGATCAAGAGAACAAGTAGAATTTTTCAGCCACCAAGTACAAATATACACAAATGTGTACTTCCATTTACACATCATTATTTAATCCAAACATATTCATACCTTATCTTAATAAATATAAATATAAAGCACTATCTCACGTCTAAGTCACACACACACAATGTCTGCAAGTCTAAGAACTAGGAAAATACAAAAAGCCATGGAAAGAGAAACTGCACACTTCATTCACTGCAGTTTTTGTATCCACCACCATAAAACACGCTGTAACAGTTTATTTTTCCTTCCTATCAACAGTTTCATTTCTTCATGCTTGGACACAGGATCAAGCCAAGAGGATTAACATTATTCCTAGTGTAACTGTTCATGTCCTCCCCCCTCCCAGATTCCTAGCGAGACAAAGACTCTAAATTTTGGGTTCTATGATGGTAAAATGAAATATGTTACTGAACTTTACATTTTAAAAATGTATGTTGAAAATAAAAATCTTATAAAGGAATTATAGGCTGCCTTGGTGGTTTATTTTAGGGGAACTTTTAATTAAAGGGGCTGATTTTTATTTTTTTAAAAAGTGATGAGCAAAGTTTTTAAATGTGGACAGTTTTGATGTTAGACATTTAGTCCCTTTAAGCACGATTCCCCTACAGGGAGACAGAGCCGCACTCATCCCAAGAGTGGCCCTGACTAGGATTTAGGCTCCTCTCATGTTCTCTCCCTTTGTCACTCAATTCTTTCAACCACTCTGCTGGAAATAGGGTTGATTGTGCTAGTAGAAACAGGAGTGATCACCCTTGGACAAATGAGAAAAACTAGCACACTCAACACCCCAGAGAACCATAACCGCAGGGATACACCCGCCCCTGTCGCAGGGACAGAGTTGGCAGATGTAAGGGCCTGGATTCCACCCCCAGCGCTGAGACGCCCCAAGTTACTCTGCAGTGTTGGGCTGATGCGCCGCCTGCTGTCTCCAAGTTAGGCTTCTGGTAAGGCTAAGCCACAGGGGCAATGATTATGCCCTTCAGCAGCCAGGTTTGATCACTCGCTTATTAGAAACACATGGAATATTATTTTAATATGTGTTTAAGAGATATAAACAATTCCAAAGACCTGAAACAATTATAAAATATGTTACTGGCTTGGTTTTTGCTGTTTAATACAACCTTGTCTGAGATCAGGCTTTAGTGTGATTCAACTTTCTAACTCATCCTGACCTCTGTTTGAACTCATTTTGATCTCACTCACAGCTGTAAGACTATAACTTCACCGATTTCAACAACTCATAAACCAATTATGACTTTGGAATATTGCTATCTTTGAGCAGATATTTCTATGATTTTTCTAAGAAAGTATCTCCAATCTATACTTCAAACTTATGGCCAAAATGTGGGGGAAAGAGGAGAAAATACAATTGTGCACATTTTGTTTCCATTGCTCTTCCACAACAGACCATTCTAATGAGATCACGGTGTTTTCATTTTGTGCCAAAAGTACATGTGCTTGTCCTCTTCTTTCCTTCTAAGACACATGAAGACAGCAGATTTTTAAAGATTCACAAAATAAATTATTGCGTGAAGACCTACACCCTCATCCCTGACCCTACTATGCTTTCAACTACCTAAAAGCAGTGCTCTTAAGTCTGTCCGTAGGTAGCTTTAGACACCGGTTACTATCTACAACACCATGCCTGTGTCTCCATGCTGTAGAAAAGACAGCGTCCTCTACTTCCTAACCCCAGAACAGTCAAGCTTCCCTATGAGGTGGGAAAGGGAACATCTGTTGGTGTCTTTCAGTCACTGATGTGTTCATTCATTGACTGTGCTAATATCTGCTTGGCATGTGCCACATTCTAGCTCTGTCTCAGGACTACAGGACCCCCGATAAGCAGCATGGCCAGTGTAAAGGGCACAAAATAACAACACACAAGACAATCTCTCTCTCTCTCTCACTCTGTGTGTGTGTGTGTGAAGGAGAAAATAAATCATGTATGTGCAATGCATGAGTCGATGGTGTAAGGCACTCTGGTTTTCATAGTCCTCTGTGCTGGTCTTCAGATATAAACCTAGAAAAGTGAGCTGTGGATATCCACTCAAGGAAAACTTCTTTCTAACTTGATAAAAGAGAAAGAAAAGAAAAGAAAAGAAAAGAAAAAGAAAGAGAGAGAGAAAGAAAGAAAAGAAAGAAGAAAGAAAGAAAGAAGAAAGAGAGAAAGAAAGAAAAAGAAAGAAAGAAAGAAAGAAGAAAGAAAGGAGGGAGGGAGGGAAGGAGGGAGGGAGGGAGGGGAAGGAAAGAAGAAAGAAAGAAAGAAAGAAAGAAAGAAAGAAAGAAAGAAAGAAAGAAAGAAAGAAAAGAAAGAAAGGAAGGAAGGGAAGGAAGGAAGAAGAAGAGAGGGAGGGAGGGAGGAAGGAAGGAAGGAAGGAAGGAAGGAGAAAAAGAAAAGGAAGAAGAAAGAGGAAGGAAGGAAGACAGGAAGAAAGAAAAGAGAGAAGAAAGAAATCTACACAAAGGAGACTGAGGAGGAACAAGGGGAAATGCTGGAGGAGGAAACACAAGGGGATGAAGTCACAAAAGCTGGAAAAACAGGAAATTCTAAGGGGGAAGGAGTGCAATCTCTTGGTAAAATAACCATCAAAGCTTAAGTTAGTTAAATAAAAGGGTCTGTTGAATTCAGTTGGCAAGGAGACGGCAAGTCCTGAAGAAAAAGAAAAGAGAAAGCGACGAGGGCTTTGAGAGCCAGGCACTCAACCACTACACAGAAGGTAAGGACAGAGGGCACCGACGGTGACAGGATTTGGGTTTGTCAGTGGAGATGAGAGTTGTGTCTTCAACAGTGGTTACTCTCTTGTTGAAGGATGGAGTGATGTTGTCGGCTACGGGACAAGAGGATAAGGACATAGCTGTGGGAGG